TGCTGTGCTTTCTGCAACCGGACTTGCTTATCTCAGATTGGCCTTTTTGGTCATCAGCGTGCTTGCAAAAAGCGCGGGATGAGTCCTTCCTGAATTTTTGTTGGCAAAGAAAAGCCAGAGAGTGGATAGAGTGGGATTAGAGAAACCTAGGTTTAAATCCCTGCAGAGCTTTGATTGCCTCTTGGACCAGTCATTCTCTCAACCTAACAAACTTCATAGGATTTTTGTGTAGTTTAATATCAAATGCCACCACACTGTGATAGTTAGCGGTATGTTTTGGAGCCAGTACTCACCACAGCAAAAAAGGAGAGTCTCAGAGTGATGTAGTGTTTGAGTGTTGGACTATGACCCTGGAGATCAGGGTTTAATTTCACACTCAGAAGTGGGGAATTCAATTCTATTTAATTCTCCACCAAGAAGGCTTCCAAGGGAGGGCAGTTCACAATTGGCATGCCACAGTCATATGCCTATCCCTCAAATTTTTCTGTTTACCTGGTTCCTAGAGTGACAATATGATATAATGGTTTGAGTGTTGGACTATGACTCTGGAGTCTAGGGTTCAATTCCCTGCTTGGCCATAAAACCCACTGGGTGACCTTGGCCAAGTCACATGCTCTCAGCCTCAGGGGAAGTCAATGGCAAACCTCCTTTGAACAAATTTTGCCAAGAAAATGCCATGCACAAGTCCTGAAGTGAAAAATAGGAGGGGAGAAACTGTTGTAAACTCAATCCGTGGGAAAAAAACATGGACATTTTTCATTGTTCTGAAAAATTATGTTCTCCTTATATGTCTGAGAGTGATGTAAGTGAAAACTTATATTGCTACTTCTTAAGAAAAGAAGAAGGCAACCTTCCCCTTTAAGGGCCGAGGGACTTCAGCTCCCAGAACCCCAGGAGCTATTGGCCAACATGGGACTATTGGCCAACATGACTGAGGCTTCTGGGAGCTGAAGTCTCTTGGCCCTTAAAGGGGAAAGGTTGCCTACCCCTAAGAACCTTGCAATCCATGTTTGGTTTAAATATGATAAAGAACTGTATGAAGGGCAGGAGACAGATCTTGTCTGTCAATGGTGAGAAAGTGGACCAAACAGCTCACTCAGGCAAGTTCTATTTCTTTTTAGGGGGGTTGCAGACTGCCAGAAATAGTGCAAATTGAGTCCACTTTTAGGATTAGGGTTAGTGCTAGGGAATCATGGGAACTGTATTTTATTGTGGCACCAGAGCTCTCTGACAGAGAAGGCTCAATGTCTCAGAAAAAAACAGTTCCCATGATTCTCTAGCACTAACCCTAACCCTAAAAGTAGACTCAATTTGCACTGTTTTTGGCAGTCTGCAACCCCCCTTAGTTTATATTGTCTTCTGTCTTTCCATCTGTGCACATGCCAAAGTTATGTAACAATCTATGTTGTTTTTGTTGTTGCCATGTTCTTTAAAAATGTGTAAATGTGTTTAAGATATATAATATTTTCTTTAGATAATAGATGGAATAAAATCTATTTATATGTAGATACTGATAAACAAGTATGAACATGTTATAAATTAGCCAGGAGCCACAAACAAAAGTGAGATAGGAATTATTTAAGATGAAATAGTCAATTATGGTTATTAATGTTCTATATCTAGTGTGTTTTCCGTTTTGGAGAAGTGACGTTATAGTTTTAACTATTAAAAAGAAAAAAGAAAAGAAAAAAAGAAAATGTGTAAATGTGTATTACTTGCATTTGGGGGGTGTTGTTGATTGTTATGTTTGTTATTTGCTATGGTTGTTTCAAGAGGACAAATAAAAAAGCAAGTGATCCCACATCTCTACATCCCAGTGAAGATGGTTATTCCCTGTGAGTTGATTTAATAGCTCTAGGGAGGAAAATCTGGCCTGTACAGCTCCTGTAAACATTTATTTGTGGAAACAGCAGATCACTTTGAGACACTCAGCCACAGAACATTGCACAAACCATTCCCTTTTGCTAAGAGATGGGCGAGGTTTACTGGCTTATTATGCTACTAGAACATGAAAGGTGCGCAAGGCTGGATTGGCTGAGGTGGAGAGGAGGAATTTCTGGCTCAGCATTTTCTGCTGTCTCCCCCTCCCTTCACCTTAATCATAATGTGGCTTTCCCTCCCCATCCTCCATCCCTCCTCCTCCTCTACCTCCTCCTCCTCCTCTTCTGCCTGCATCCTTTATAGCACATACCTGCCTGCTGCCTGGCAACAGTGCCACGAGTGATGTCACAGGAACTCAGGAGCCTGTGAAAAGGGAATAAACAACAGAGCTTGGATTTGTCTAGAGAGCTGCAGCTCTGGGAGGCTGGCCAGCCTACCAACATCTGCCAGACATATTTTCAGAAATCAGGCTAATCCAAATTTAAATTTAAGATTGCACTTCACACAAAATCTTCAGGATTTGGGAGGCTCCCAGGACAGGCACACAAATAACTCCGGGATTCACAGCCTATGGGAGTATCTTGCAGGGTGCATCTCCTAGATCAAATAGGGAGGTTTTAAGGTTGTCCCATAGCTGCACAGACTGGGGCAATTTGCTTTTGAGCCTCCTCAAAAAAGGGTTTGCCTTCTTCAATCCTGTGTATTAGCATTGGCCCTTGCACAAACCCTGCCACATTGCTCATCTTATTAATAAGTCCAACGACATCCACCCCAGGCCCCATAAGGCCTCCCGGCAGCCATATATTTTATAGCAGCCATTACTGAAGATACAGATGTACAACAGACAGAGCGTGGCTTACAGTAAGTCAGAAGGATTGATCTGAAAGAACTTTTCTCTCCTTTCCTAAATTTTCCTCTCTTAGG